GTCGTGTGATCTCTTTATCATCCTTCTGGAAAAGGTCATACGAGACGCAAAGGTGAACAGAAATGGCACTCTGTACACCAAACAGAAAATGTTACTCGCTGACGCCGATGACATCGACATAATGTGTCGGACACTGAGAGCGGTAACAGCCACCGTTGATCAATTTGAGAAGGAGTCTGCCAAAGTGGGTCTGGCAGTAAACGGCGAGAAGACCAAGCTGATGGTAGTCAACGCGCAAGACGTTAAGTAGACTCGAACCAACTGTGGAACTTGAAACCATTTCAGCATTCATTAAATATTTTATATACCTTATATCCGCCATAAACAAAACGAATGACAACAGTTTTGAAATTCCTGGACAATGATAGTGATGGCAGGGCTTGATAGTCATAGTCGATGACCGAAGAATTCAGACAGCCCAAATACTGGGAGTAGTTTTTGATAACCTACTTAACTACACCAAGCATGCCGCCTATGTCAAAAGGAAAGTCCTCAGCAAAAACAATGTCCTGAAAGCTCTAACAGGCACCTCCTGGGGAAAGGATAAAGGGACGCTCATCATGTCGTACAAAGCCATTTGTCGCTCTGTACTGAGCTATGCCGCCCCCGTTTGGACTTCATTCCTCAGCGACACCCAATGGCGCAACCTTCAAACGACCTAAAATAGTGCTCTAAGGATTGCTAGCGGATGTGTCAAGATGTCGAGCGTGGATCATCTTCATAAGGAGACAAGTATCCTTGTCAGTACAGCAACATAATGCCTTGCTTGCTAGACAGTTCCTTTTGGCCTGCCATCTGCCAAGTCACCCCAACCACCACATAATGGTGCAGGATGCTCCACCACGACACATACGGAAGGACATCAAACACTTCCGCCCAAACATCCAAGACGTCATACCATCCGACCTAAACAGATTGTCAATAGCTGCAGGTCTGAAACAGCTGCACACTCGAGCGATGAATCATGCCGTCAACGGATATTGCCTAAATAAAGTCCTTAATAAACATTCTCCAGCAATCAGTGACTCCGAAAAGCGCCTCCCCAGATCCACTAGAACAACTCTAGCTCAACTTAGACTCTTAGATCAAAATATATTTTTAAAAAAATCCACGCTTATGTTAGTTACACAAAAATATTTTTAAATGAAGAACCTGTTTTACATAAGGGCCTTTGGTGCGTATTGCTACTGTCGTTACTTATACGCCAGCCTGCGACCATGTACCGATTTGCAACTCGTTACCACGCGAAATATTTCTGCATAATTATGCAACTTTACACATCTGGCCATGTAAAAGAAGAACTGCATTATTGACAGCTCGACAGAGCGAGGGACAGAGTGACAGAGACTTGTGTTTTTTGCCCATATCAACCAGAGTCATCATCCTCATCAGCCACCATGCATGACGCGAATACACGTCAGTCGTCGTCACACATCGGTGTTATGTGTAGGGGGGCGGGACGAAGTATTTAACAACCAATAATAATGACTTTTTAATTAACAAATTAAGACACGTTTAAACATGCAGCACGTGACGATATGAAATGACATTTTTGTGTTCACTTCGTGAAGGCAACAAAAAAGTGAGGCAAAGAGAAAAAACTTTCGGTTACGCATGAAATGCAGTTTTGCATAAGGCGCACAGCGTAATAATTATGCGTAACGCATGCGTTTATTGTGCGATTATTGCTGTACGATTTTTTTATTCCATTTAATTAATTTTTAAATGATTCTGACTATTCCGACGAATTTTATGGTGATATAACGCAAATCGCTGTCGATTACCTTTTCGGAATGTAGAGGAATTTCTGACGCACTTTCCTGCCCAGCGACTGCAAAAAGGATAATCATATAGTTATAAATAGAAATACCGCACTGAGCATAACTCGAATCGTGATAGTCATAGAATGAATAATGATGACACTCGGAATGACAAATGGTAGGGTAGGTAATTGAAATGCAACTAAAGAACAAAAAAGAGGAGCAAAAAAATAATTTCCATATCAAGGAGAATTTATTTCTTCGAAGTAGAAGATCGATGGAATGTTGAGTGCTATGATTCATTTAGATGACGTAAATAGTTTGGTAACATCATGGAAGAGCATAAAAATGGTTAACATATTAAAAAAACAGTAAGGAAAGTAGTAAAGTCGGAAGGGCCGACTATATATACCCTTCACCACTTTGGGTATATTCAACAGATGTATCCTAACAGATGTTAGAATACATCTGAAATTGAATGCATAAACATGTCATTCTGCAACCGATATTAAATTTTTCATTTGGTCAGATATAGAAGCTATATCTAAATCTGAACCGATTTTCAGGAAACTTAACACACATCATTCTGGAACTAATTCAGTACTCTATGCCAAATTTCGTGCACATCGAAGGATATATAGGGATTTTGGTGCCCATTTACCTTAAATCGGACGAAGATATATATGGGAGCTATATCTAAATCTGAACCGATTTTCACGAAACTTGTCACACATCATTCTGAATCTAATTCAGTACTCTATGTCAAATTTCGTGCAAATCGAGGGATATATAGGGACTTTGGTACACCATTTACCTTAGATCGGACAAAAATATATGGGAGCTATATCTAAATCTGAACCGATTTTCACGAAACTTAATACACAACATTCTAGACTCAATTCATTACGCTATGCCAAGTTTCGTGCAAATCGAAGGGTATATAGCAACATTGGTGCACTATTTACCTAAAATCGGGCGAAACTATATATGGGAGCTATAACATAATTTGAACCGATTTTCACGAAACTTTCCACTCATCATTGTAGACTCATTTCAGTATGCTACGCCAAATTTCGTGGAAATCGAAGGATATATAGGGACTTTGTTACAATATTTACCAAAAATCGGACGAAACTATATATGGGAGCTATATCTAAATCTGAACCGATTTTCCCGAAACTTACCAATCACCATTCTAGACTTAGTTCAGTACGATATGACAAATCTCGTGCAAATGGAAGGGTATATAGGGACTTTGATGCAATATTTACCTAAAATCGGACGAAAATATATATGGGAGCTATATCTAAATCTGAACCGATTTTCACGAAACTTGACAGACATCATTTTAGCCTCAATTCAATACGTTGTGCCAAATTTCGTGCACATCGAAGGATATATAGGGACTTTGGTGCACCATTTACATTAAATCGGACGAAAATATATATGGGAGGTATATCTAAATCTGAACCGATTTTCACGAAACTTAACACACATCATTCTAGACCTTATTCATTACGCTGTGCCAAATTTCGTGCAGATCGGAGGATATATAGGGACTTTGATGCCTATATCCGACGAAAATATATATGGGAGCTATATCTAAATCTGAACCGATTTTCACCAATTTCAATAGGGTTCGTCCTTGAGCCAAATAAGTGACTTGTGCCAAATTTCATCCAAATCGGATCATAAATGCTGAATTTACTTTTTCTTTACAAATATGCCGATTAATTCCATTTAACTATACAAAAATGTTGCTGAATTGAATTTTCCATTCCATATGTTAGCTGAATTGAGTATTTCGATGAAGAAAGATAACTGAATTGAGATTTTTAATGCCGGGGTTGAGTTTTTCGATATAAAATGTTAGCTAAATTGAGTTTTTTAATACAAAATAACAGCTGAATTGTGTTCATTAATAGAAAAATGTTGCTGAATTAATGTTTTCGAACAAATCATTTGGCTGAATTGAGTTTTTCTAAAGAAAATTTTAGCTGAATTGAGTTATGTACCGAAAAAGTTAGCTGAATTTATGTTTTCGATATATAAAAATAGCTGAGATTACTTTCTTTAAAAGAAAAATGTAGCTGAATTGAATTTATCGGTAGAAAACTGGTGGTAAATATTGTTTTTCATTAATAACAGTTAGCTGAATTGAGTTTACCGATAGAAAAATGTAGCTGAATTTAGCTTTTCTATAGAAAAATGCTACTTTATTGCTATTGTCTATACAAAAATGTTGATAAATTAAGTTTTTCAATATAAAAAGTTAGCTGAATTGCGTTTTTCAATATAAAAGGTTAGCTGAATTGCGTTTCACGATGGAAAAAGTTAGCTGAATTTGGTCTTCCAAAGAAAAAAACTAGCCGTGATGAGTTTTTCCTTAGAAAAATGTTGCTGAGTTGAGCTTTTCTCTGGAAAATTTTAGATGAATTGATCCCTAATAAAAGTTAGCTGAATAGCATTTTTTCTATAGCAAAACATAGCTGAATTCAATTTTGTTGAAGAAAACTTTTCTAAATTTAGGTATCTTAGGGAAAATCTTAACTGATTTTTTTTAAAAATCCACGCCTTGTGGTTACTTGAAAAAATATTTTTAAAAAAATCCATGCCTTGTAAAACTAGCTCCACATGCAAACAAGGTAATACTAAGACAGATACGATTCAGTATTAAGCATGGGATCCGCTCTTCTTCATTATGGTAATGGAGTTGCCTCGCTTAGCTCGCCGGCTGGCTGAGTAGCTGGTGAGAACATTCCCTGAATGTTAAGTGGGTGATTATTGGGCGATTGATGATGACGCTACCGGCTACCGATCATGATCATGGGTAGAGCAAAGTAGAGTAGCCCACAAATCCCACAAAAACAAAAAGAAGAAGAAACCAACAACAACAAAAAAAACTATTGGAAGAATATGCCGAATTGGAATAGAGCGAGCGAACGGCAAAATTGATATGTGCGATTTTTTTGCCATTTAAGCGGACATTAATGTTTGTTGTTGTTGCTTTTTGGTTGACACTTTTTTATTTTTGTATTTTTTTTTTCATTTGCCTTCTCATTGCCTCGTCGCCGCTATATAAATCTAACACAAATCATGGTCAAGACATCATTTCTTTGGTGGAAACTTAAGAGTTAAGTTTAGCTCCAGTGTTGATCGGTGAAAAAAATACGAAATTACGAAATAATTTTTTCGAGTGTAAATCAAATTTTTTTGAAGGATACTCCATAACTCGAACACAATGAAATTCAGTGTTGCCTTGATCGCCATTGTGGCCCTTGTTGCCAGCGGCAGTGCCTTGCCAGCCAAGAAAAGTATGTGATATTCTTTTTATTTTTTTTAAATAAAATTTTTTATAAAATATTTAAAGTGAAAAAAAATTCAAAAAAAAAATATTGTGAAAAAGTGTTAAAAAATTAAAAAAAATGTGTGGTGGAAAATCATAATTTTTGTTACAAAAATGTAAAAAAATTACACTCCAAAAAAATTGTTCAGAAAAAAGTCTCCAAAAAATTTTTGATGTGAAAAAATCCAGCTCCGAGTGTCTTATAATAAAACTCTACAAATTACATCACTATAATGTTGAAGGAAATTTGAAATTTTCAAAAAGTCTACACTTTTTCATAGCTAAATTTGTTACGTTTTTCACCAAGTCTCCACATTTTTAAAATAATTTTAAAAAAGATCTCACATTATATGGAAAATTTACTTAAAAGTCTCCACTTTTTTAAAAATTTTAACCAAGTCTCCAATTTTTTAGAGTCTGGTCTCCACAATTTCTAAATATTTTTCTTTCAGAAAATAAGTTCTAGAAAAGATTTTTGACAATGTCTCCATTTTTTTAATAATTTTAACAAAAAGTGGAGACTTTTTGTAAAAAAACTAAAAAGTCTCCAAATTTGTTCAAACAATTTTTAAATAATCTTCCATTAAAACTTTAGACCACTGTAAAACATAAATGAAAAAATCTTCATAGTTTCGAAAAGAAATTAAGAAGTCTCCACAATTTTTGAATAATTAAAAGTAGCCACATTAAAAAGTCTCCACATTTTTTTCTAACAATTTTGCAATAATCTTCAGTTAATACTTTTGACCAACTCTCCACTTTAAAATAAAATTATGGAAAATTCTTCATAGTTTTGAAAAAAAAATAAGAAGTCTCCACTATTTTTAAATAATTTTCCATTTTTTACAAAGCCTCCATTTTTTAAATGATATTAACAAAGTCTCAACTTATTAAAATAATTTGAACCAAGTCTCCAATTTTTGGAGAATTTTTTTAAAGTCTCCAAAATTTTAAAATAATTTTTATTAAGCCCACAAATCCTAAAATAGTTATTCATTCCTGTTCATTTTTTTTAAATATTAAAAAAGTATCCAAAATTTTTTTAAAACCCCTTTTTAAGAAGTCTCCACTTTTTTCAAACGACTTTGAAATGTTATACCAGTTTTATTTGTATATCTAACCAAGTCTCCAGTATATTTGGAAGACTTCAAAAAGTCTCCACATTTTTTGACAACAAAAAATTAGGAAGTCTACCCTTTTTTACAATTTTATTAGTACATCGGACTCAGACTCCAAATTTTTTTTATACTTTTAATCAAATCGTCAATTTATTGAGAGATTTTTAAAAGTCCTAAAACATATATTTGAGCAAGTCTCCATTTTTTGAAAAAAAATTAAGAAGTCTCCACTTTTTTTCAAACAACTTTGAAATTTTCTACAAATTTTATTAGTACATCTGACCAAGTCTTCACATTATTTAAATAATTTTAACCAAATCCCATTTCTCAAAAAGTCTCCACTTTCTCTAACAAATCCCCTTTTTCACCAGATCTCCACTTTCTCAAAAAATCTCCACTTTTTCAAAAAGTCTCCACTTTCTCAAAAAATCTACATTTTATCCAAAAAGCTTCCAATTTCTCAAGAAGTCTCCACTTTCGTCATTGTCTCCTCCAGAAAAAAATATCTCTCAATTTAGTCTCCACTGTTAAATGTTGCCTCTCTCACCATCTCACTCTCTCTCTCTCTCTCTCTAAATCCACACTTTCTCCACTTTTTCAAAAAGTCTCCACTTTTTCAAAAAATCTACATTTTCTCCAAAAAGTTTCCAATTTCTCAAAAAGTCTCCACTTTCGTCATTGTCTCCTCAAGAAAAAAAAATATCTCTCAATTTAGTCTCCACTATTAAATGTTGCCTCTCTCACCATCTCACTCTCTCTCTCTCTGTCTCTCTTTACTCTCTCTCTAGGGATGGTTTACTATCAACAGCCCACTGCCTACTACACCGCTCCCCAGCGCATGATGTACGTCCAATATGTTCAGCCAGCCCGTCCCTTTGCTCGCTCCACCCAGGCCGCCGAAGCTTTGGTAGCCGGTGAGACCGTTGCCACTGGTACCTATTTGAAAGGTAAGACGAACTCGCATCCCTCTCCCCCAATATTCTCTAACCTCCTATTTCCTTCCGATTCTAAACCAAAGATTGTAATCACGCAGAAGCTGATGTTGCCGCCGCAGGTCCCGCTGTTGATGTTTCCGTCGAACATGGTGAAGAGGTGTTGAGCGAAGCTGAAGCCTACCCCGCCTCGGGTGAAGCTGTACCTGTTGTTCCCGTTGCCGCTGTACCCGCCGAAGTTGACATTGTGGCCGAAGAAAATGAAGTTGCCGATGAAGCTGCCAAGGTTCCACGTGACTATAACTTCGAAGCTGCCGCTGAAGAATCCGCTGTTGCCGCCTCCGCTGAAGAAGCCGCTGTCTATGAAGCTGAACAACCAGCCGCCGCTGCTGAAGTTCCTGAGGTCGCTGAAGCCCCTGTAGCCGCCGCTGAATTGCCCGCCCCCGCTCCCATCGCTCCTGTTGCCAAGCCCGCCAAACGTTATTTGCCCTCCAAGAAGAAGGTCTACGTTGAATTGGATCAATCTGTTGAAGAGGAAGAAGTTGCCGATGAGGAGGATGAATACGAAGTGCCCGTAGCTCCAGCTCGCCGCCCAGCCGTTAAGAAACCCGCCAAGGCCCCAACAGCTGCTGCTCCTAAGGCTGATAAACCATTGCCTGCCGGTACCTTCTTCCCAATTAACTTCGGTGGCACCAGCGGTGGCGCCATTGCCATTGCCAACTCCTTCAGCACCGGTGAAGGTGGTTCGGCTACCAGCCATGCCATCGCTTATGGTTCTCCTGATACCGTACGTGCCCGTGTTCGTCCCGGCAAATTCCATTAAGTGCACACCAATTCACGCACACATGCACATTTGTCAACACACACACATATTTTTTTCTAAGCCATAATTCTCTGCCCTGATTTTTTTAAAGAAATGAACAGACTTTTTTAATTTTTCGAATTTTTTTCAAATTTAGTCCAATTGTAATAACGAAATCGAAAACTAAAAACAAAAAAAAAACGAACAAAAAAAATAATAAAATATTGTATCCTTTAAAAATCTTGTCTTTTGATTTCCAAAAAAATTTACGAAATTTTTCAAAAATTTTAGGGCGCCTTTGTGAATCGAATTGCCTATAATTTGGTATTTTGGATTCTCAGTGGGTAACAAATCTCCATACCAAAATTTATCTAAATTGGTCCACTTTTAAGGGTAGCTCCCATATAATGTTACCTTCGAAATTTCGATATTTTAGTAGATTGGGCAAGTTTTTCAACCGAAATGACTCTAATTTGGTATTTTGGATTCTCATTAGGTAGCAAATCTCCATACCAAAAATTATTAATAACGGTCGACTTTTCGATGCAGCTCTCATATAACCTTACCTCCGAAATTTCGATATTTTGGGAGTTTGGCCAAATTTTTCAACCAAAATTGCTGTAATTTGATATTTTGATTTCTCAATAGATAGGAAATCTCGTTACCAAAAATTATCAATACTTTAAGAATAGCTCCCATACAAGATAACCTCAAAATCTCGGTATAATGGGTGTTTTGAGTACGTTTTTCAACCGAATTGTCTGTAATTTCGTATTTTGGATTTTCATTGACTATCAAATCTTCATACCAAAATTTTTCAATATTGGTCCACTTTTCAATGTAGCTTCCATATAACGTTACCCTCCAAATTTCGATTTTTGGAGATTTAAGGTACATTTTTTAATCGAATTGTCTGCAATTTGGTATTTTGTATACTTATGTGGTGCCAAACCTGCCCACAAAAAATTATCAAAATTGGACCACTTTTAGGGATACCTCCAAATAAGGATACCTCCCAAATTTCGATTTTTGAAGATTTCAGACACGTTTGTAAATCGAATTGTCTGTAATTTGGTATTTTTTATTCTTATTGGGTGTCAAATCTCCATACCAAAAATTATTAATATTGGTCCACTTTTTAGGGTAGCTCCCATATAAGGTTACCCTCCAAATTTCGATTTTTTAAGATTATCGACACTTTTTTGAAACGAATTGTCTGCAATTTGGTATTTTGTATACACATTGGCTGTCAAACCTACTCACCAAAAATTGTCAATATTGGTAAATTTTTTAGGGTAGCTCCCATATAAGGTTACCCTCCAAATTTCGATTTTTTGAGATTTTCGGCACTTTTTTGAAGCGAATTGTCTGTAATTTGGATTTATGGGTTGTCATTGGGTAACAAATCCTCCTACCAAAAATTATTAATATTGGTCCACTTTTGGGAGAAGATAAGGTTACCTCCCAAATTTCGATTTTTGGTGATTCTAGGCACGTTTATGACTCAAATTGTCTGTAATTTGATATTTTGGGTTGTCATTGGATAACAAATCTCGTTACCAAAAATGATCAAAATTGGTCCACTTTAAAGGGTAGCTCCCACACAAGGTTACCTCCCAAATTTCGATTTTTGAAGAATTTAGGAATGTTTTTGAATCGAATTGTCTGTAATTTGGTATTTGGTATACTCATTGGGTATCAAACCTGCCCACCAAAAATTATCAAAATTGGTTCACGTTTAGGGGTAGCTCCCACACAAAGTTATCTATAAAATTTCGATTTTTTCAGATTTTGGGCACATTTTTGAATCGAATTGGCTGTAGTTTGGTATTATGGATTCTCATTGGGTGTCAAACCTTCCCACCAAAAATTATCAAAATCGGATCACTTTTAAATTCGATTTTTTTGGGGATTTTAAGGAAGTTTTTCAAACGATTTACATATTTCTTATAGTCTACGAAAAAATTAAAAAATATTTTATTTTTTTCAAAATGGGAAGTTCAATATTGTTTTGTTGATTTTATTATTATAATCATCGTGGTTCAAAAGTTTTTTTTTATAGGGTTTCATTGTTTACATATACATTTTTCTTTTTGTTGTTGTATAGCTAAATATATATATATATAGTATATAACATAACAGATTTTTTTTGTTAAAGAGGTGCACTATACGTTGAGGGTTTTTCGCATATAAGTTTTGGATTTTTTTCAGTGTATCGCACTTTTTGTTCCGCATATATATTCGGGTTTTTTTAATTAAAAGTAATAATTACGTTTATTTTTATTTATTATTTATATTTTTTGTTGTTTTAATATTCATGTTTATATGTATGTATATTGACAGCATGTTTTGAACTGAAAACATTTTTTATTTAATTATAATAAAAACTCTCTTAGTATTTAAAAAAATGGAATTTTTTAATTATTTTTTTTTCATTTCTTTCATTTTGTTTTTTTTTTTTAATGGTGGTTATACCCAGTAGAAAGGAAGAAGAAGAAAATAGGTATTGGTGTTGTTTTGAAATCTAAAGGCAATGAAGAAAATATTTAAAATACTACTAACAATACAATATCATGGACATAGAGGGGGGGAAGGGAGGATTACATTTTTTTGAAATTAAAAAAAAAATTGAAATTAAAAAAAATTTAAATTTAAAAAAATTACATATTAACTAAAGCAAAACATTTATATTGTTGTTGTTATAAAAAACAAAATCCCAAAACTAAACACTATCAGTAACCATATTTATCCTGCAGCGAAGACATAACATCATTGGCCAAATTGCTGAGACGGCCGGCAACTTTGTGGACACCCTGGCGTACACTTTCCTTGACATCATCCAAATCGGGGGCCTGGAAGTTCACCACACCGGTGTTGTAGGCTATAAAAAACAACGACAACAAAAATTCCATTAAAAAAAATTAAAAAAAAATTAAAAAAAAATCCAAATACCCACCATTACCCCTTGAACCCCCTCGGCTACTTTGACTCGAACCATCACCAAAATAATCAGCCGATGATATCGATGATGAACCTTGGAATCTTGACAAATTCGAGGAAATATCATCACGCGATTGGCCATCATTAAAGAATTGATCGGAGCCAAAACCCTTGGCACTGCCGAATTTCTTTTGGGCCGAATTTTCCTCATAGCTTTGTTTGCTAATCGATTGGGGGCCAGGTTTACGGGAATAGCTGCTGCTCACGGAAGTTGTTGGGGTTTTGGGTTTGGTATCCGCTGCTGCACCACCACTAAACATCGATGTAATATTTGAATGAGACGAGCCAATGGGTTCGATTGTCTCAAAGCCCATCATTTCCAATTCTTGTTTATCGATTTTATTCGATGTGGAGGAGGAGTTGGAGAAACCTCCATTGCCGCTACCACTATACATACTGGTGGAATAATCATTAAAGAAACTATCATTATCGAATGCCGACATTTTCGATGATGAGGATGTGATGGCCGATGATTTTGGGGCCGGAGCCTGTTGTATGGTCTCCATGTCACTCAAAACGGAATGGGAAATATCAGAGCTGAAAGGAGAAAAAGAGAAAAATAAATGGAAAAAGGAATTAGAAAATAAATTCAGAGGCTAAAAATCATTAGGAAGGTAGTATAGAAGTGGGGGGCTTGGGCACATTTTTCAACCGAATTGCCTGTAATTTGGTATTTTCAATTTTCATGAGGTGTTACATCTTCCTACCAAAAATTATCGATATTGGTCCACTTTTTAGGGTAGCTCCCACATAATGTTATCTTCAAATTTTCTCTTTTTTGGTGAGATTAGGATTGATTTTCTACCGATTCTGCTATGTTTTGGTATCTTGCATTCTCATTGGGTAGCAAATCTCCCTACAAAAAATTATTAATATCGGTCCACTTTTCGGGGTAGCTCCCATATAAGATTACGTCCCAAATTACGATTTTTGAGGAATTTGAGCAAGTTTTCAAACCGAATTGGCTGTAATTTGATATTTTGAATTCTCAATAGATAGCAAATCTCGTTATAAAAAATTATTAAGATTGGTTCACTTTTCGGGGTAGCTCCCATATAAGGTAACCTCAAAATTTCGATATTCTGGGTGTTTAGGGTACGTTCTTCAACGAATTGCTTGTAATTTGATGTTTTTTATTGTCATTTGCTAACAAATCTCCATACCAATAATTATAAATATCGGCCCTTTTTCGGGGTAGCTCCCGTATAACGTTACCTCCCAAATTTCGATTTTTGGGGATATTAGACACATTTTTTGAATAGAATTGTCTGTAATTTGATATTTTGTATACTCATGAGGTGTCAAACCCTTCCACCAAAAATTATCAAAATTGGGTAATTTTTAAGGGTAGCTCCCATATAAGGTAACCTTAAAATTTCGGTATTTCGGGGTGCTTAGGTACTATTATCAACCGAATTAGCTGTAATTTGGTATTTTGAGTTCTAATAGGATGTTACATCTTCATAACAAAAATTATAAATATCGGTCTATTTTTTAGGGTAGCTCCCATATAGCATTACCTCCCAAATTTCGATTTTTGGAGATATTAGACACATTTTTTGAATCGAATTGTCTGTAATTTCATATTTTGTATACTCATGGGGTATCAAACCTTCCCACCAAAAATGATCAAAATCGATCCACTTTAAAGGGTAGCTCCCATATAAGGTAAACCCCAAAATGTCGGTATTTCAAGGGGCTTAGTCACGATTTTCAACCGAATTAGCGGTACTTTGGTATTTTGAGTTTTCATGGGGTGTCACATGTCCATACACAAAACTTATCAATATTGGTCCACTTTTCGATGTATCTCCCATATAGCGTTATCTCCCAAATTTCGATTTTTGGAGCTTTTAGGCACGTTTTTTGAATCGAAGTGTCTGTAGTTTGATATTTTGAATACTCATTGAGTGTCAAAAACCTTCCCACCAAAAATTATCAAAATCCGGTCACTTTTAAAGGTAGCTCCCATATAAGGTAACCTCAACATTTCCTTGCAACTTACCCCTTCAAATTGAAACCCATACCCAAACGTTCCATTTGTTTGGCCTTAATGGGATCGATATTTTTCATTCGGGCCTCTTCCTGGCTCTTCTTCAACGATAGATCTTGATAGGCTAAACGCATGCTGGCAACCGATTCGATTTCCTCTTCCGCACTTAAAGGTTTATCAGGCACAATTGGAGACTCCTTGAGCTGATTGGCCATATTGGCACGTTGTTCAATTTCAGCAAAATTGGTTTTGACTTTAGTGGCACCCAGGCCGCCAACTTTGCGGGCGCCCAACTGTGAAGAGGGGTGGAAAATGAAAATTAGAACAATTGTTTTTTTTTTTTTTTAATATATTTGCGGACAACTTACCCCACCCTTTTTGGGTTGTATTTTGCGTACACCAATTGAGGGTGTACCCCCCGATGTTGGTGTATTCACCACGGAATTTAAAAGATCAACACTTGGAGCACCAGCATTCAATTGTGGTTGTTTATCAGCGGTGGGTGTTGGTGTTGAGGGCTTCAAGGAGATATCAATCTGGTAAAGAAGAAGAAGCAGATTTGTATTCGGTATTAATATCAGAATTTTAAAGAGTTTTCAAAAAAACCAATAACACAAAACAACATGCATTGCATTCGTAATTGTTGTTGTTTTTATTTAAACTTGTATTTTACTTACCTTTTCAATATTGCTTTGCGTATTGTTATTATCATGATTAAACGTGTCCTTATTGTTATCATTATGGCATTGTTCAAAGAAGTCCACTTCTTTGTTGTTATCATTGTTTTCGGGTTTCTCCGATGTACCATCCAAAAAGAGCTGCAATGGGGTTTTTTTTTATACAGGGGGTATGGAGGGTAGAGATTAGTTTGAAACCCAATTTGAAAGCAAAATCAAACATGTTAGTTTAACAAAATTAACAAAAACGGGAACAAAACAAAAAATATAACAATTAAAAATCGTTCTCACCTTTGTCCCATGCACCTTCATTGCCTGCTGGGCTAATTGCTGCAATTTATCGCGATACAATTGTGCTGCTCTGGAATTATATTTTTGCTGAGCATCTGTTGTGTTGCAATTATGTTGACGAAAGAAGGCATTGGCATTTGCATTACCGCCAACTTGCATTTGACGCAACTGCAGCCATGTCCAATTTGTATCCAAATTAGTTGAACGTACAAAGGTCAAATGGACACCCAAACTGCGATGTACCGCGGAACAATCGATACAAATGAAAACACCATAGGTAACAGTGGCCCAGGTGGGTGCCTTGGCACCACAATCAAAACAGGCCTGGAAATAAAAAATAATAAATTAAAATAAAATTATGATCGGGTATAAAAGGCGGATGTTCGATTTTTGGAGATTTTACGCAGGGGTTTTTAATCGAATTGTCTGTAATTTGCTATTTCGAATTCTCATCAGGCGTCAAACCTTCCTACCAAAAATTATTAATAACGGTAATTTGGTATTTTGGGTTCTCATGGGGTGTCACATCATCCTACCAAAAATGATCGATATTATTGCAATTTTTAGGGAAGCTCTCATATAACTTTACCTCCCAAATTTCGATTTTTAGAGATTTAAGGCACATTTTTTTAATCGAATTGTCCGTAATTTGGTATTTCGGATTCTCATTGGGTGTCAAACCTGCCCACCAAAAATTATCAAAATCGGTCCACATTTAAGGGTAGCTCCTATATAATTTAACCTCCCAAAATTCGATTTATGGAGACTTTAAGCAGTTTTATATCGAATTATTTGTAATTTTGTATTTTGAATACTGATTGTGTGTCAAACCTCTACAACAAAAATTATCAAAAATCGGTCCACTTTTAAGGGTAGCTCCCATATAAGGAAACCTTAAAATTTCGGTATTTCGTGCGGCTTAGGCATGATTTTCAACCGAATTAGCTGCAGTTTAGTATTTCAAGTTTTAATGGGGTCTCACATGTCCATACCAAAAATTATTAATAACGGTTCAATTTTCAGGGTAGCTCCCATATAACGTTACCTCCTTCGATTTTTGGAGATTTTAAGCAGGTTTTTAATCGAATTGTCTGTAATTTGGTATTTCGGATATTCATCAGGTGTTAAACCTTCCTAACAAAAATTATCAAAATCGGTCCACATTTAAGGGTAGCTCCGTTATAAGATTACCTCAAAAGACTCCTTTTAGGCGTCTATAAAAACTTCTTTCAAGGACCTATAAATAATCCTTTCTAGGCGTCTATAAAGGCTCCTTTCAGGCACCTATAGACTCTTTTCAGGTACCCATAAAGGGTACCTGATAAACCTCCTTTCTACATGATGCCTATAAACCCTCCTTTCTAGCCCATTATAAAGGCTCCATTATAGTCGCCTTTTAACACTCCTTTTCAGCCCCTATAGAGACTTCTTTCAGGCACCTATAAATACTCCCTTCAGGCACCTATAACGACTCCTTTATAGCCCCATATAGTCGCCTCTTTTCTTTTCCTCAATAAAGACTCTCCTCCATATACCCCTCACCTATAAAGCCTCTTTTTTACCATTTTACTACCCTTACCCCCAATAGATCAGGGTCACTACTATAAAAACGCTATATAGATCAAAATATATAATTGACCTTGTAAGCTAACTCATAACCTGATTTAACCTCGACCGTCTACTTCTTCTTTTTCTGCTTCTTCTTCCGCTAAGTAGTAGAACCTTGTTAGGGAAACTTACTTTATTTGCAGGTTGGGATCTAAGGCGACTAAAGACCGCCTCCATTTGTTGTTTTGTGGGTCCCGCTGATTGTTGGTTGGCCATATCGATGATTCTGTGGATGATTCTGCTGCAACGGCTGATGGGTGTGTATGTTTGCCAATTCGATTCCGAAACAATTAGTTGTTGTTTTTTGTTAATTATATTTCATCAGCTCTTTTTGAAGGGGGGCTCAAAATGTGTCTGTCGTCTGGTGGATGTTAGCTAGGCAATCAAATGACAATAGGTGCTTGGTTGGCGGGGGGTTACGAACAAATGTGTGTTCTTTTTTCCTTTCGTTGTTGTTGGAAATTTTGGAATATATTCTTTGTGTTAGATTGGTGTTCTGGCTTCGTTGTATTTTTTGCTGGAGTGGTTCCAAATTTGTTTTAATTAATTATAAAATAAATTAATTAAATTTAGCTTTTACAGGTTATTTTCCTCCGTTTGGATCTACTAATAATTAATTGAGTTCTAAATTTTTGGATTTTACGTGTGGTGTTTTTTTTTCCTTTCCTTTCTTGTGACGTGTTTACTCTAGAGCTGTATCGTTCCGCTGAACGAACGACAGAGAACTAGTTCAAACCGAACGAAACGAACTCCGCGGTGAACAAATGAACGATCGGAACTATGTACCGATATATTCATGCTAGCTAGCTAGTTCGTTGAGTTCACGAAGTTCACAAAATTCGATTAAACAAAATGTGAAGGTGGGGAAAAATATAGGAAGGTCCCACGAAAAGGATTTAATAGAAGACACAAAAGAAGGCGGGAAAGGTGTCTTATAGACGCTCGGAATTAGCACCTACAGACGAACGAAAAACAGGCTTTAGGCGACTGAAATTATATTTTTATAAGAGTCTTTATAGGTACCTGGTAAGGTAAGGAGTCTTTATAGGTACCTGAAAGGAGTCTTTATATGCGAGTCTTTAAAAACGACTAAGATACATTCGTTATAGAGGACTTTAAAAAAAGAATTTATAGGCGACTAGAAAGGTCTCAAAAGAGTCTTTATAGTTGCCTGAAAGGAGTCTTTATAGGTGCCTGAAAGCATTCTTAAAAGGCGACTATAAAGTATTCTTAAAAGGCGTCTATAAAGAAGTGTTTATAGAGGCCTAGAAAGAAGGGTTTATCGGTGCCTGAAATAAGACTTTATATGCGCCTGAAAGGAGTCTAGAAAGGAGCCTTTATAGACGGCTGGGAGGCCTTGAAGGGAGTATTTATAGGCGACTAAACTAGAAAATAGTCTTTATAGATGCCTAGAAAGACCTCTAAACGAGAAGATTTATAGGCAAGTAGGAAAGAGTCTTTATAAATACCTGAAAGGAGTCTTTATAGGTGCCTGAATGGAGCTTTATATGGTCAAATATTGATCATTTTTGGTATGGAGATTTGCTACCTAATGAGAATACAAAATACCAAATTCTATACAATTCTATTGAGAAACGAGCCTAAAATCTTCAAAAATCGAAATTTAGGAGCTAACTTTGTGTGAGAGCTATCTTAAATTGTGGAGCGATTTCAATAGTTTTTGGTGGGAAGTTTTGACACCCAATAAGAATACAAAATTACAGGCTATTCGATTCAAAGACGTGTCCAAACTGCCAAAATATCGAAATTTTGTGGTTGGCTTATTTGGGAGCTACCCCCAAAAGTGGACCCTTATTTATAATTTTTGGTAGAGCGTTTGTTACCTAATGACAACCCAAAATACCAAACTACAACCAATTTGATTCGAAAAACGTGCTAAAAACTCCAAAAAACGAACTTTGGAGGGTAAACTTATATGGGAGCTACCCTTAAAGGTGGACCAATCGTAATAATTGTTGATAACGAGATTTGCTATCTATTAAGAATCCAAAATACCATATTATAGACAAATCGGTTCAAACAACTTACTTAAAATCTCCAAAAAGTAAAATTTGGAGGTAACTCTTACTACCCTTAAAAATAGACCAATATTGATAATTTTTGGTAGGAGGAAACTCAAAATAACAAATTTGAAGCCAATTCGTTTAAAAAACATGCATAATATCGCCAAAATATCGAACATTTTGGGGTACCTTTACATGGGGACTATCCTAAAAAGTGGGCCGATATCGAACATTTTTGGTAGGGAGGTTTGCTACCCAATGAGAACACAATGTACCAAATTGCAGCCAAATCGGTTAAAAAATGTGCCGAAAATCCCCAAAATACCGAAAAATGGAGGTACAGTTATATGGAGACAACTGTAAAAAATGGACCAACATTAATAATTCTTAGTAGGAAGATATTCTACACTATGAAAACCCAAAGTACCGAAATAAAGCAGAATCGATTGAAAATCGAACCTGAATTCTCCAAAAAGCAAATGTTCGGATGTAACATTATATGGGGACTACCCTTAAAATGGACCAATATTGATAATTTTTGGTAATACCAAATTATAGACAATTCGGGTCTACGCCAAAAAAAAACCCAAAATACCAAATATTTAAAAAATCCCCTCCCCGATTATGGCTGTGAAAAAATCTCCACTTTTAATAAAAAATACAACAACAACAATTTATTTTATAAAATTTGTAAAATACACAAAATAACATTTTAAATTTCCGTATTTGTTGTACCATTTTTCGTTTTATTACCCCTCGAAACCTTAGCTATACTTTCGGGATCTTGTAGTAAAACCAATCGTACAAAGGCCAGATTTAAAAGTAAGGCCTGACCCAGAAATTCCCGATGATAACGTAATGATTTGGAAAACATATGCCTCAGTTCCATGGGAAATTGGACATTGCCCCTTATGGAGGTATTATTATTTGATGTTTCATCTGCAGACCCCGTAGCTGCATGTGCTGCTGCAACCTGGGGCTTTAATTCCGCCTCCTCATCAATGACTAGATCGTTGATATTATAATAGGTACGCATCATATTTATGATGGTGTCCTCGGATGAAATGCGTTCCGTGCCGACCAAGTGGTTAAAGAGGCGGGCTGTCAAGAAACGTCGAACATAGAAAAGTAGGGCAGATTTGGGAGAGGTATTGGACTCCACCTCCCCCTCCTCTTCATTGTTGGTATTAGTCTCCTGGTGTGCATTGTGTCGTGAAGCCAAGGCATACCCCATCACGGCTGTCACCTGAGCCTTTTGTATATTTATATTCTGCTGTTCCACACTGCCGGGATTGTTGCTGGCCTGAGCCATTTGGGGATTTTCAAAGAGATAACAATCGGCATCTGGAATCATATGATTCACATACAAGCATCGCTGTATTAGTTCGTGTAAATGTAATTTTTTCTCTGAGATCTCATGATGATGCCAATGGGTCAATTGACATGGTTCATTACTATCCGCTGGGGGCAACTGTAATCGAGACCAGGTCACACTATTGACACCCACCCGAACCGAAACACATGATTTGATTTGCATTTGTTGTTCCGGTGTTATGGTGGGCGTGATAAATGGTGCTGTCCTCGCACGATTTGTTTTACCCAATTCCCCAGCATCTTCAGTGGTAGTGGGGTCTTGCAACAGACTTTGATAGAATTTATCGGCCACCTTGGGACCAAAACCTTCTACCAAAAATATATCGGATAAATTGGAGAGTAAACCATTACGCATACGCCATGCCAATAGCTTATTGGCCCTGCCTTTGGTAATGTCGTAACTGGAATGGGTGTAAAAAATTAGAAAGTTTGAAAAAATTCTCCAATCCTGAAAATGACCTACCTCAGAAGCTCCTTTAGATTGTAATTGTTAAGGCTTTTAAGGATTTTTTCACCATCCTCCGGGCTGTATTTGGAGAAAAGGGCATGGGGAGAGTCTTCTTTTTGTTGGGTTTCGGGCTGATGTTCGCGCGGTTCCGTAACATAAAATTGCATTTGGGTGCAAGATTTTAATACGTTGTTGTTGGTGATGGTATTTTTGGAAGATATCCGTAGTAGTTGCCTCAACATTTTTGAGCTGGTGTCCTGTCAGACCGGGATAATCTGATCAGTGTATGGAAGGAATAGGTTATTCAACGACGAGGTGGTTTGGTACTGAACACACACACTACGACACACCATGTTACGAATAAGGGTGTAAAGCAACAATACGATTACCGAACGTTAAAGAAGGCGAATCACATGTGGCGATATTTGGATTTTTTTAATTAATTTTTTCAGAGGGATATTTAGGGCCCAAATTAAATATTGGTTCAGTTTTCAAGGTAGTGGCCATATAATCTAACCTCCCATATTTCAATATTCGATATTTTGTGGATTTCAGGCACATGTTTCAAGCGAAGTGACTGTAATATGGTATTTTGGATTCTCATTGGGTAACAAATTCTCCAAACCAAAATGGGCATGCATAAGCGTGGTTTTATTAAAGAATATTTTTAAGGGGCCTACATAGGCGTGGTTTTATTAAAGAATATTTTTAAGGGGCCTACATAGGCGTGGTTTTATTAAAGAATATTTTTAAGGGGCCTACATAGGCGTGGTTTTATTAAAGAATATTTTTAAGGGACATGCATAGGCGTGGTTTTATTAAAGAATATTTTTAAGGTGCCTACATAGGCGGGGTTTTATTAAAGAATATTTTTAAGGGGCATGCATGGGCCTGGTTTTATTAAAGAATATTTTTAAGGGGCTACATAGGCGTGGTTTTATTAAAGAATATTTTTTAGGGGCCTACATAGGCGTGGTTTTATTAAAGAACATTTTTAAGGGGCCTACATAGGTGTGATTTTAATAACGATTATTTTTAAGGAGCCTACATAGGATTGGTTTTATTAAAGATTATTTTTAAGGAGCCTACATAGGCGTAGTTTTATTAAAGAATATTTTTAAGGGGCCTGCATATGCGTGGTTTTATTAAAGAATACCCATTTTTGACACCCTATGGAGGTGGGTTTTTGGAATCCTTTAAAAGTGTAGATTTATTAAAGAATATATATGTGTGTCTATATAGGCGTAATTTCATTAAAAAATATTTTTCCCGAATCTACTTTTTTTATTAAAATAAATTTCAATAATAATTCCCTACGATTTGTTTTGTTTCACTGCTTTCCTTTGCCATTTATCGATTGTTCAATTATCGATCTTTATATCCCTGTCAAAGCTGTCAAAGCCATCCAGCTGTTTGCCTTTTGCCTTCTCTCAGTCACAGTCAGTCATTTGGCAAAATTTAAACGGTGAACAACGTAACGTCGGGTCACTTATAAACGTGTAAACGTCTAACCGTCGCGTCTGGTGCATGCGTTTGTTGTTTGTGTTTCTCGGGTTGTTGTTGTTCATTTTTCGTTGTGCGATTGCACACAACAACAAAAAAGGCGCCTAATTTTTCGTGTGATGTGAATTGTTAATATGATCATCGTGGAATATAAAAAGCAACGGTGAAAGAAAACAAAGCTAATCATGAAAAGGAGGAATACTTCAACAAAAATTCAAGGTATAAAATGAGTGGAGAAACGTGTGAAAAAAAAGAAAAACAAAACAAGGCATGCCATTCACAAAAGCCATGGTGTTGCTTTGCTGGATGGCCTGGTGGGTTGTCTATTGTGTGTTTACCAAAAATATACATCTGCCAAGCAAAGCTGCTGCTGACAGGTAGAGTGTTGTGTGTGAGTGCCCTAGTGAAAGAGAGAGAGGAGAGGGAGATAGAGAGTGGACAAGACAATTCTTGCGTTTTGTTGTTCCACAAAAAAGGTCAAAAGATGTTGCTCAATAGCAGCAGTCGCAGTAAGTTTGGCGAAAGCGGAAACCACTAACAACAAAAACAACAACAAACCGAATGGGGATTACAAAATTTTGAAATAATACAAAAACAACAACAACGAAATGTTTTGTTTAAACTGGAATTATTTAATAGTTTTTATTTTGGAACCAGTAGCAGCAGCTTAGAAAATGAAAGTGAATTGTTGTTAGTTTTTTTTGTTAAGATATTTCCACCAACTGTGTGATTTGATTAAGAGAGGTGGAGAGAGAGAGAGAGAGTGACAGTGGGGAAGAGTGCAAATAATGCGTGAGTGCCAACAGTGTGCAATGCAAAAATAAAGTTTATCAGTTAGTTGTTGTTATTATTGTTACCCATTGTGTGGGTAACAATAATAACAACAAGACCAGCAAGACACACGAAAAAAAGACCAGCAAGACACTACGTGAAATGTCTGTCTCTCTGAGTTAAAAGTAAAACGGAATAAAAACAAGAAATTAAAAAATAGAAGTAATACAACAACAGCAACAACAAATCAAAAGCGAAAGTAAATCAAAATAACAACAACAGCAATATTATTAGTGACATACCATACATGCATGATTCAAAAAACAGTGAAACCTAGTTTGTTCAATCAAGTTTAGGTTTTGTCTCTGCAATTGTTTTTTTTTTGTTATGACTGCAAAAAAAAAAACAAACAACAACAATAATATGTGTGTATTTACAAAGGTGTGACTGTGTTTGTGTTTTGTTGGTGCGTTGACGTGCTCTCAACAAAGAAGAAGCAGACCAACCATCCATCCAGCCAACAATAGAAAAAAATCCCCCTCCAAAAGAAAAAATTAAACCACAATAACAAAAATAACACTGAGAAGGCAGCACTGCAGTACAGTACATGAACTGTGTGCGTGTGTGTGTAATGAATGCATTTCAATGACGTCGTCGTCATCATCGCCGTTGGTGTTGTTGGCAAATTGAAACAAAAACAACAGCAACAAAAATCTCCAGCTTCCGCTAAAACGGAACGAAACAGCAGGGTTACCAAGGTTTTTGTAAAACGAATTGGCACAAAATTTTGTATTTAGGGTTCTTAGGTGAATAACTAATATTCCTAGCATACTCAATACTCATTATCGGCGCACTTTTCCGGGTACTTTAATTAAAACCGAACCTCGCGTATCTCGATATTTTGGTCGGGGTTTCCAACCAAAATCACTGTAATTTAATATATTGGGTGGTTATTGGTTAGAAAATCTTCCAAGAAAAAATTCTCAATATCAGCACACTTTTCCGGGTACTTCCCTTATAACCGAACCTCCTGTATCTCGATATTTTGAGCTGGGCTTTTGGGACGTTTTCTAATCGAATTAGCTGTAATTTGGTATTTAGGGTAGCAAATCTTCATAGCAAAAATAATCAATATCGGTCCACTTTTCCGGGTAGTTCTCATATAGCCTAACCTTCCAAATTTCGATATTTTTTGGGAATTTTGGACAAGAATTTCAACCGAATGGACTGTAATTGGGTATTTAGGGTGCTCATTGGGCAGTTAACATCTCTACAAAAAAAATTATTAAGTCTCCATATAACCGAACATCCCGAATTTCGATATTTTGTGATTTTTGGCATATTTTTCAATCGAATTGCCTGTAATTTGATATTTAGGGTTCTCTCCAGGGATGGTCCGTGTGACGAATTTTTAGATTTTCGACTGTCAAAAAGGTGTAAACGTCGAAAACGTCATATACCTGTATAAAATGTAAAAATGTAGTAAACGTCATATATTTCAATATTATCAGCATATACATTTATTTTCAAGAATATATATTATTTTTACATATATCTGACAATTCCCTAGTAGAACTAATAAATATATCAAAATTTTTTTGAGAAGAACATTTTGAAATTTTATATTAATTTAAGCAGGGACCGAAAATAACAGTTATTTTTTAAAATGCGAACAAAAAAATCTTCATGTTAGAGACATGGGACACTAATAGTGTCATATACCAATAGATTCGTACTGAGGAGCCCATTGAGGATATTGAGTGATCTTGAGAAAACACTCTCAGTTCCCATGTTAAGGATTATTTTTTAACGGAAAAAATAAACGTTGATTTTTAACTGTTAAGAATGATTTTTATTTTTTCCGTCAAAAATAAAAGTCTTTTTGCGATTTTTATTTTTTCCGTCAAAAATAAAAGTCTTTTTGGGACTTTTATTTTTTCCGTCAAAAATAACAGTCTTTTTGGGACTTTTATTTTTTCCGTCAAAAATAAAAGTCTTTTTGGGATTTTTATTTTTTCCGTCAGAAAATAAAAGTCATTTTGGGATTTTTATTTTTTCCGTCAGGAAATAAAACTCTTTCTATGTAAAGAAGTTTATACAACTTGTAATCAGTTATAAAATTACAATTTATAAATCTCTGTCCTTATTACAATAAGTTTACACATAAGTAATCAAGATCAAAGGTAAAAAATATTTGTTATAAATTTTTAAAAAATAGTCTAGTGTACCAAATCATGAATATAAATTAAAGAATCATTCCCCTGACTATTAGGTCAAAGGTTATATAACTGGTACCAAACTCTATATGTTTATTTACGTAAAAAGACTTTTATTTTCTGACGGAAAAAATAAAAATCACAAAAAGACTTTTATTTTTGACCCCAAAAAGACTTTTATTTTTGACGGAAAAAATAAAAGTCCCAAAAAGACTTTTATTTTTGACGGAAAAAATAAAAATCCCAAAAAGACTTTTATTTTTGACGGAAAAAATAAAAATCATTTTTAACAGTTAAAAATCAACGTTTATTTTTTCCGTTAAAAAATAATTAATTAAAGTGGATTTTTTTATTTAGGTCACATAATAACAGTTATTTTTTACCTGATTTGATATAAGTTATAACCGTTACGGTCCCTGAATTTAAGTAAAGCATGCGTAATTTCAAATTGATGAATGGAAATAGCTATTTTGTCAAAAACCTAATGGATTTGGGTAGGTTTCCGACGTTTCTGACGTATGTATTATACGTCGGAAATGTATGTCATTTACGTCACTGTTTCTGACAGGCCATCTCTGGTTCTCTCAATGGGTAGAAAATCTCTCTACCGAAAATTATTACAATTGGTTTACTTTCAAGGTAGTCTCCATATAACCGAACATCCCAAATTTCGATATTTTGGAAATTTTGGACAGGATTTTCAATTTAATAGGCTATATTTTGATTTTATGGGTTCGCATTGTTTAACAAATCAACATTCTTTGCTTGTAGTCCGCATATAACCCATCCTCCCGAATTTCCATATTTTGGGAATTTTGCACATGTTTTCCAATCGAATTGCCTGTAATTTAATATTTTGGGTTCTTATTGGGTAGCAAATCTCCCTATCAAAAATTATCGGTATTTGTCCATTTTTCCGGATAGTTCCCATATAACCTAACATCCGAAATTTCGATATTTTGAGTACGGTTTTCAATCAAAAAGGCTGTTATATGGTATTGAGGGCTCTATTGGGTAGCATATATCTCTAACCACACAGGTCCACATAGATCCCTATCAAAATATAATATTTTCATAGGGTCCACATTGGTCCCTAATAATTTTTGATGGTCTATATAGCCTGGTTTTATAATGGAATATCTTTTTAGAGTCCACATAGATCCCTTATACATATTTTTTGAAGTTTCACATAGATCCGTAATATTTTTTTTGAGGGTCCACATAGATCCCTAATATTTTTTGAGGTTCCACATAGGTCCATAATTTTTTTTGAGGGTCCAAATAAATTCTTATATTTTTAAGAGGGACCTTAAAAATTTTTATATATTTAATTAATATGAATTTTCTTCTATTATTTTTTTTTAATAATTTAATTAATATTTTTCTTCTTCTTTTTTTTAGAACCTCAAAAATTTGCTCAATAGGAAACAAACATGTAAAATCCGGCGGATTAGAAGCCCGAATCAAAACTGCTCTCTATCTATTTCAATATTTTCCCATTGTGAAATCCATAACAAAATCCTGCTATAATCTCTAAAACCATCCCCCGCCCTCAACATCTCAACATCATAGTGAAAAAAAATACGACACAATATAACCAACAATGAGCGTTTCCGGTACCTTAACCCTAAGTCGGGTGTCTTCATTTGAAGAGAATCAATATAAATCTCAATATAGTCGTGGTACCCACAGCAACCAATATCAACACAACAACAACAATCTGGCAGGTTCCGCAACATATTTTCATTTCCCAGGAACAGGAGGGGACAGCAGCCGGAGATCACATCATGAATACCATTTAAGTTATAGTAAAACAGAACCGATGGATCTAACCCTAGATTACGATGAAGGTGATGATGTGGACGATGATGATAAGCCATTGACCAGATTTGAGTCCAGCGCAATATCGGCAGCGCCTGCCACCAGTCTTCTTATGCCAAAAAGTAACAGCTACAATGGCATGACGACGTCAATGACGTTGAAACCCAAGTCCACCATCATTAAGCAGGACAGTTTTAATGGACGCATTAATACCAGTCTCACCGATAGTGATAGTGAATATGGCAGTGTTCGGATCACGGCCAATACAACGGCCTTAGAGGGCAGTGGCGGTGGCGGCGGCATCATGATGGCCACACATCACTCATCCTCCTCGTTATGTGCCAATGATGAGGCCTGTGATGAACATGATTCCTTTTTGATTACGGCAGATATTAATGGTACCTCAGCAGCAACAGCAGCATCCACCTCCATCTCAACAACACCGCCACCACCGTTAAGTGCAAAAAATCGCCGTTCCAATTCCACACTTCGTTCGAATAGTAAAACCACACGCTCCTCGATATGTTACCGGGCAAATGCCTTTATATCCCGCAATTGGTATCTCAGCTATTTGGTGCCGCTCTCAATACTCCTGGCTCTTATGTTTGTGGCCTATCTGACGCGTGACTATGCGAAGCGACTACTCTTCTGGATCGAAACGCAGAATCCATGGATCATATTTGCCGTTTTTATGCTGCTCTTTGTTGTTGTTAGTTTTCCCATTGTTGTTGGGTATTTTGTGCTGATGATCACGGCCGGTTACTTATTCGGTTTGATACGGGGCTTCCTAACTGTGATATTGGGTGCAAATATGGGCATTGCCATTGCCCATTTAACCTTAAGGAGTCTAAAGCATCGATTGCCGGTGCAAAAGTAAGTATCTGAAAACGAGAAAAAAATTAAATATTAAAATTTAAAAGAAAAAAATTGAATTCAATATTCTGTTTCAATACATAGTGAGAAAAAGGATTCCAAATTTTGCGGAAAAAAATTTTAGGAGCCTCCAAAAAATTTTAGAGACCTATGTGGAACCTCAAAAAAATATTAGGAACTTATGTAGACCTCCCGAAAAAAAAATTAGGGACCTTAAAAAATATTTATTTCAATACAGAGAGATAGGGGATTCAAAATGTTGCCTAAAATAGAAGCTGAGGTGTGGGGATTTTTTTTCTGTGGACCCTCAAAAAAATATTAGGTGTCTCCCAAAAACGTTACAGACCTATGTGGAGCCTCAAAAAATATTAGGAACTTATGTAGACTCCCCGGACAATATTTGTTGGCCCTAAAAAATTAGGAAAAATTAGAAAATAGGGACCTATGTGGCACCTAAAAAAAATTAGTAACCTATGTGAACCCTGAAAAATATTAGGAACCTATGTGGACCCTCAAACAATATACAGGACCTATGTGGACCCTCGAAAAAAATTAAGTGACCTTTGTGGACCTATGTGGACCCTCAAACAAATATTAAGGTCCTATGTGGACCCTAAAAAAAATATTAGGGCCTATGTGGAACCTCAAAAAATATTAAAAACCTATGTGGACCCTTTAAAAAATATTAGGGATCTATGTGGACCCTCAAAAAAATTAAGTGACCTATGTGGACCGTCAAAAAATATTGGGAACCTATGTGAACCCTTAAAAAAAATTTATGGGAGGGACTCTGAAAAATATTAGGAGCCTATTTCGACTCTCAAACAATTAGTAGAGACCTATGAGGACCAAAATAAATAAATTGGTAACTATGTGGACCCTTCGAAAAAATATTAGGGACCTATATAAACCCTCTCAAAAATATTAGGGACCTATGTGGACCTTCAAAAAAATATTAGGGACCTACGTGAACCCTAAAAAAATTTATTGACCTCTGTGGACCCTCAACAATATATTAAGGACCTATGTAGAGCCTCAAAAAAATATTAGGAAATTGTGTAGACCCTCCGAAAAATATTCCAGACCTATGTGGAGTCTCAAAAAATATTTGTGGACTCTCAAAAAATATTAGGAACCTATGCGAACCCTGAAACAAATATTAGAGACCCATAAGAACTCTAAAAATTTTTTGGGAACTATGTGGACTCTTCGAAAAATATTAGGGACCTATATATAGACCCTCCATAAATGTGGAGTCTTTAAAAAATATTAGAGATATATGTTAGGGACTCTAAAATATGTTAGGGACCAATGTGGACCCTCAAGTAAAAAATTGGGGATCTATGTGAAGCATACAAAAATATGTTTTTAATAAAACCCCACCTCTACAGAAACTCAAAAAAATATTCTTTAATAAAACCCCACTTCTACAGTTCCTAAAAAAATATTATTTTATAAAATCCAACCCCTATAGACCCTCCAAAAATATTTTTTAAAAAATATCGTCGCACTACTGATTTATAGTCAACAACTATTCGAATAATTTCGAAATGTATTTTCCGTTTGCCCTTGAATTATGAAAGAATACAAAGAAAGGTTAGGCCTATAACCGATTTGTAAGCAATGGCATGCAAACCTTAACTAAGAAGACCTGACCTCGTCCTCCTCCAGACAGAATTAGACTAATTGGCAAACTAATTGGCTGACTGATTGTCTGTCTGACTACACATGATTGGACAAGAACGACAAGGGAATAAAAAAAAATTTCAATAATTGTTGAATTTTGTAATAGACAATTTCCATTCCCCCCTACCGGCGGAGTGGAATGTGGGGGGGGGGGGCAAAATTGAAAGAATTGAGTGGCAAAGTGTTCTTTAAAAAGTATATTTTTTTAAATCCCCCACCCACTCTCGTGTAGACTTCCTAATTGTACAATGACCTACATAGCTATAGAAGAAGAAATTTTTCGACGCCGACAGCCTGGCTCATTTGATAAGAATCAAAATTAAAAAAAAGTGGAGACATTTTCCATTCAAAATTGTTTGTTGTTGGCTGGTTTTCTTGGAGACTTTTTTATGGTTTCTTGTGGGAACACAGAAAAAAGACACCTCTCGTAGAGGAGGTCGTTCGGTTGATGGATATTGTAAAATTATTTTGGTCACGTTTTTTCTTGTTTTCTTTTTGTTAGCTTGTTTGGGTATGTGTTCACATCGTGAAGCCATCAAAAAATCGAAAGAAATTATTTCGTTTCTTATTTTTTTCTACTTTTTGAAACTATTTTTTAAATGCCCATTTCACTTGCATACAATTTCAGCAGGTGGGAGAACTAACGACGAACCACAGAATGTATGAATGGATGGATTATTTGTTTGTTTGTATAGCCAATGTAGGGCATTTGTTATTATTGTTGGCCTTTTTTTGTAAAACTTTCACTGGGGGAGACCAACAAATTAAGGCAAACTTATTTTGGATAAAATTCAACATTTAAAAAAAAAACAAAAAATAAAAAATGCGAAAAAAATAAAATAAAGTTGAAAAAATGGGGAAAATAGAATAAAAAATGAAAAAAGTTAAAAATCAACAAAAAAGTTAAAAAGTGATGAAGGGTATCATATAGTCGGCCCCATCCGACATTTGAACTTTTCTTACTGGTTTTCAAATATTTTCTTCAACAGCAATTTTTACTTCAACCATTCGCCGAAATCACATCTTCCCCTCCTCTGCCCCCTCATTGAACTTGACCTTGTAATTCAAATAAATTGTTTTCATCATTTAAACACACACACACACATAGACAGAAATATGAAATACACTTGCAAGTAACTTATCTCGAAAAATTATTTTCACTACATGTTTTTCTGCTTCTTCTTCTTCAACTTTGAAAAAAAATAATGAAAAATTACTCAATAAGTGCTTTATTGTGTCAAGCTTGAATATTTCATTGAAATCAGTGCGATATTTCGAAACATTAATAATAAGAAATGTAATTTTTTATTATATAATAATTTTATTGTTGTTGTTGTTCTTATCACAGAACACAGAATTATTCTAACAGTAAAATTGAGAAATAAAAAAAATATGAAAATTCGCGGGCAAAATCTAAACATTACAAAAATTGAGGTAACCTTTATATGAAGGCTATATATTTTGGTATGGAAATTTGCTATCCAAAGAGACTCCAAATTATTAAATTACAGACAATTTGGTTGGAAAACGTGCCCAAAATCACCAAAATATCGACATTTCGGAGATTCAGTTATATGGAGGCCCAATAAAATGGACCAATTTTAATAATTTTTGGTACGGAGATTTGTTATCCACAGAGACTCCAAATAATAAAATTACAGCCAATTTGGTTGAAAATGATGCCAAAAATTCCAAAATATCGAAAATTTGGAGATTCAGTTATATGAAGGCTACCCTAAAAAATGGACCAATTTTGAGGATTTTTGGAGAGATTTGATTTTTGGACGGGAATTTGTTACCCAAAGAGAATCCAAAATATAGAATTACAGCTAATTTGGTTGAAAAAGATGCCAAAAATTCCAAAACATCGAAATTTAGGAGGTACGGTTATATGTAGGCTACCCTAAAAAAATAGACCAATTTTAATTACTTTTGCTACGGATATTTGTTACCCGCAGATACTTCAAATTATTAAATTACAGTCATTTTGGTTGAAAAACGTGGCGAAAATTCCAAAATATCGAAATTCGGGAGGTAAGGTTATATGGAGGTGGCCCCAAAAAATGGATAAATTTTTGTAATTTGTAGTACAGAGATTTTTTACCCATAGAGACTCCAATTTATCAAATTACAGCCAATTTGGTTGAAAAACGTGCTACCCCAGAAAAATGGACCAATTTTGATAATTTTTGGTACGAGTAATTGCTAGCCACAGACACTCCAAATTATTAAATTACAGTCGATTTGGTTGAAAAACGTAAAAAAAATTAAAAAATATCGAAATTTAGGAGGTACGGTTATATGGAGGTTACCCTAAAAAATGTCAAATTTTAATCATTTTTGGTACAGAGGTTTGTTACCCGCAGATACTCTAAATTATTTAATTTCAGACGAAAGTATGTATATTCTTGATCAACGTAAAATTCTATGACGTCCGATCGCCAACATTTTGCATAAAGCTGTCTTTTGTCTGCCTGTTCGAAGATGGGCTATATCAGTCCACGTTTAGGCATGGCTCCCATTTAAGGGTACCCCCCCCCCCAATTTTCGGTATTTTGGGGTTCGTGAGCGCGTTTTTAAATCGAATTCGCTGAAATTTGGTAAATTGGTTTCTTATTGGGTACCAAATTTCCCCACTGAAAATTAAAAATATAGGTCCACTTTTTCTGGTAGTCCCCCTATAACGATACCCCCAAATGTTCGGTATTTTGGGGGTTTTAGTTGTATTTTTCGCCCGAAGTGGCTGTAATTTAGTACTTTGAGTTATTATTGGGTAGTAAATCTCTACACTAAAAATTCAAAATATAGGTCAATTTGTTCGGGTGATTCCCATATAATGGTACCCTCCAATTTTCGGTATTTTGGGGTTCGTGAGCGCGTTTTTAATTCGAATTCGCTGAAATTTGGTACATTGGGTTCTTATTGGGTAACAAATTTCTCCACTAAAAAGTTTAAATATGGGTCCACTTTTTCTGGTAGTACTCATATAACGGTACCCCCAAATGTCCGGTATTTTGGGGGTTTTGGTCGTATTTTTCGCCCGAAGTGGCTGTAATTTCTCTCTCCACAAAAAATTAAAAATATAGCTCAATTTTTTCAGGTAGCCCCCATATAAGGGTACCACCCAATTTTGAATATTTTTGGAGTTCTTGAGTGCATTTTTCAACCAATTTCGCTGAAATTTGGTACATTGGGTTCTTATTGGGTAGCAAATTTCTCCACTGAAAATTAAAAATATAGGTTAATTTTTTCGGATAGCCCCCATATAAGGGTACCCCCAATTTTCGGCATTTTGGGGTTCTTGATCGCGTTTTTAAATCGAATTCGCTGAAATTTGGTATTTTGTAGTCGTATATAGTAACAAATCGCCCTCTCAAAATCTATTAGGGGTAGTCCACATATGACCCGCCTTTTATACCCTTCACCACACTGTGATACAGGGTATTATGTCTTTGTGCATATGTTTGTAACAGGCAAAAGGAAACGAGATAGACACATGGTTCCTTTTGAAAATATGTATAGAATCACTTTTTAAGTCGATTTATGCATGTCCGTCTGTCCGTCCATGTATTTTTGTCAACAAAGTACAGGTCGCATTTGTGATCCGATTTGGATGAAATTTGGCACAGTTCACTTATTTGACCCAAGGACGAACCCTATTGAAATTGGGAAAAATCGGTTCAGATTTAAATATAGCTCCCATATATATTTTCGTCCAATTTTAGGTAAATAATGCACCAAAGTCCCTATATATCCTTCGATTTGCACGAAATTTGGCACCGCGTACTGAATTAAGCCTAGAACGATGTGTGTTAAATTCCGCGAAAATCGGTTCAGATTTAGATATAGCTCCCATATATATTTTCGTCCGATTTAAGGTAAATGGGGCACTAAAGTCCCTATATATCTTTCGATTTGCACGAAATTTGGCACAGAGTACTGTATTAGGTCCAGAATGATGTGTGCCAAGTTTCGAGAAAATCGGTTCAGATGTAGATATAGTTCCCATATATAGTTTCGTCCGATTTAAGGTAAATGGTGCACCAAAGTCCCTAAATACTGAATTAGGTGTAAAATGATGTGTGCCAAGTTTCGATAAAATCGGTTCAGATTAAGATATAGCTCCCATATATTTTTTCTTCCGATTTTAGGTAAATAATGCACCAGAGTCCCTGTATATCCTTCGATTTGTACGAAATTTGGCATAGCGAAGTGAATTATGACAATAATTAAATATATCGGCCTGAAGAAAATAATTGAGATGCAAAACTAAAATATTGGGTTCGAAATTGACATATATTGGCCATTAATTAGGCATAGCACTCATAAAATGGTAACCCCAAATATTCGCTAATTTCTGCACTATGTAATCAATATTGGTCCCCCTTTAGACATAGCCTCATATTGATATTCCAATATTGATATTCTTTGTTTTCGATTCGAAACATTAAAAGCATTTTTCTCAATCATCGATTTCGATTTGAATTCAGATAAATAAACAGATGCAATTTATTTGCATTTATTTATTTTTTTTTTTTTTTTGTTTATTTCGAATTGTTTATTGTTTTTCCTTGGCCTACCTCCTCCCTCGCCTCTCACCATCAATTGGACAAACTTGAACAGAAATATGCAAACCAAAACAAAAAAAAAATTGAATTTAGAATTTCTCTTTTTGTGAAATTGAAAGAATTGACGCAGTAGTTGAGCATCGCGTTTTTGTCTTCGTCTATCAACAGACCTGAAGATCTCCCCCACCTCTTTCAACAATTGTTCAATTATTTCCAGCACACTCACATCTACACATCCATTCTCTAAGTCAATTCCCAATTTGACTTTAATTGTGTAGAGAAGAATAAATAATTCAAGTCAATTGAATTAAATTATTCTAGTTGTTGCTGCAGTTTTTTTTTGAATTTTTTTTCTTTTCACAAAAAAAAAATATTGATTCGAAAATACAAAAATTTATTTTTTTTAACTTTCTCAACATCGGAGGAAAATTTTTTCTATACAAAAAAATCTTCAAAAACTAGGGTCACTATTCTAGAGCAGTCTCCAAGGCCACTACTGGCCGTGGAGACTTCTGACAATAGATAAAGTTGCTCCGAAGAAAATCTCCCCCTACACGCTTCTTTTTTCGATTTTAACTTCCGTCATCGACTCTGAGGTAGTAAGAATTGATTTCTTACTCGAATTAATTTATAATCCTGATAAAAAAATAAATAAATTTTATTTCTTTATGGAAGCTTCAAGATCGGGCACATTCGGTCCTATTGTTTCATAAAAACAATAACAAAAATAATGTGATTTAATTGATTTTCTTCCTCTTCTTTTTAATAATTTATCGTGTTAATTAACCGAACAACAAATAATCCACTCTCACTGTCGTATTTGTTGTTGGGGGTCTTGTGACAAACCAATAACAACAACTCCAAAAAAATCGAACAAATATTTGTTTATTATTATTGAGTAGCCCATAGATAAGCGGACTGACTGGGTTTGTTATCGCTTAAATACCTTTTTATGGACTACTTTTTTTCTAGAGGGGAAGAGGAGATAAAAAGTGAGAGGGTATGGGGAAGGCGAGAGACTTCTAATAAGCAGGAAGATCGATTGTTTTTCTAATTATCTAATTATCATTATTAAAATTTTTTTCGTTTTTTTTTTTTCATTACAGATTAATAAAAAATGAGACTGGACGGGCGATATTGCGTGTCATATCTGGACCGAGAGCATTTCGTGTGGTGCTATTTACACGATTAACGCCCATACCGTTTGGCATACAAAATGCAATATTTGGTGTAAGTATTCGTCTTCTAGCCACTAGTCAAGGAGAGAGATTAGAGCAACCGAATTATGAATGCCCAGACACGAATGACATAGACAGTAACGTCAACGAATTAACGGAAATAATTGTAAAGTCTTTCGAGGAAAATTGTCCTCTGCGCGAAAGGAAAAATCTGCCTTTGAATAACGCTGGATGACAGGGGAGATTCGGAATAAAGGAAAAAAGGTCCGAAGGCCTTACAACAGGGCAAGCCGGAAAAAATCCCCGGTATTCTGGGGACAACTTCCACGATAAAGAATACAATAAAATGACAAGAACTACCAAATGCAACTCCTGGAAGTTGTTCTGCCCTTAGTAGTCCTCTTCGAGAAATGAAATCTGCCTTTGAAATATTCTTGATAACAGGCGAGATTCGGAAAAGAGGTACGACGGCTTTACAACAGAGTTCGCTGGAAAAAAATCGCTGGTATTCTGGGGACAACTTCCTTCCTTCAACAACGGAAAGAATACAATAAAATGACTATAAGCTCCGAACTCAACTCCTGGAAGTTGTTTTGCGAACAGGTAGACAACGTGAACGACGTTTCAATAAGTTTATCTTCTAAAATCCACACCCAAACCGAACACATTGTCGAACACATTGACAATGGACGATCTCATGTCAGACAGTGCAGAAAGATCGGAGGAACCTATGATTGTCAAATCAATGGTGTTAGACGCCTTAAAAAGCGCTATATTTATCACCACATCTAGCCGCTTTATCTAATCCTCTGGTACCTTTCAAGTTGACAGGGCAATCATAGACTGGGTTAATTATATGCTAAGGAATAGATGGATTAGCTATAGTCCTGTACAGGACATAACAATCAGAGACAAAGTAGGTCAGGTAACACCACAGGGAGGGATTTTGTCACCCCTCCTGTGTGTAACCACCATAAATGGACTCTAAGGGACCTTACCGGTAAAGGATTTGAACCAGTCTGCTATGCAGATGACGTTTTAATACTTGCTTAGCTGGCTTGCGACAGAACATTTGTTCCATATGCCGAGCTTTAAAGGAGGATTTATTCCAATTTGAAATGCCATGTTCCGAAATTTTTTCTTCCACTTGATCTTTCCATCTAATTCACGGCCTTCCACTTCTGCGTGACTCGCTTTTATATGCCTTTTTGTGCTGGGGCATCTCACAGCATGGCCTAGTCAACATAGTCTATGCTCCTCGATGCATCTGACTATGTCGAGTATAGCTTATGTTGCATTTGACGGCGATATTCACCGTCGACGCTCATAGATCTTTCGGAAAATTTTTATCAGGGAAAACCACAGGTAGGGATATTGTCACCGCTCTTGTGGGTAACCAACATAAATGGACTCTTAAGGAACTTAAACGATGAAGGATTTGAACCAGTCTGCTGTGCAGATGACGTTAGAATACTTCTTAGGGGAAATAATTCCAGCTTATTATGCAGCTAAACAGCTTAAACGGTGCTATACATCGCCTACAATTGGGCTAAACCGAGAGGCTTAAACTTAAATCCGGACAAAACGGAAATATGTCTTCTGTACCAGAAAGACAAAAATAGGTCAGTGGAAGATACTATCTTCCAAATCAAATTGCTGACCATATCAAATAAAGTTAAATATCTGGGAGTAATCCTAGACAGGAAACTTAAATTGAAAGACCACATACAGCAAAGGGTTGACAAGGATAGAGGCCACTGAATCTAGCTGATCTCAGAGGCCACTCTGAACCTAGAGTAGGTAGACTCACGTAACCGCTATAGAGTTGCTAGCATCAGAGACCGGTGCTATGGTGTATCTGAGCTCAGAGACCACTGCTATTGTGTAGGTGACATCAGAGATCAGTCTTTAAAGATCCCAGAGGCAATTATTATAGCCTAAATCGCCACTGCTATAAAGTAGTTGACCTTAGAATCCACTACTATAGAGCAAAATTAACTCAGAGATCGGGTCCTAATATGCCACTGAATCTAGAGAAGCTCGCATCAAAAGCCACTGTTATAGATTAAATGGCATCAGATGCAATTGTTTTAAAGAAGATTACCTTCAAGACAACTGAATCTGGAGTAGCTGACCTCAGAGCCCCTCTTTATAGACTAACTGGCTTTAGAGGCGACTGATAGAGTAGATGATCGGTCCTCAGATGACCTTAGAGGACACTGCTACAAATCAGATGACATCAGACGCAACTGTTCTCGAGTATATGGCCATAGAGATCACTGAATCTAGGGTAGCTGGTCTGAGACATCATTGCTATGGAGGATACCACTGCTACAGAGTAGCTGACCACAGATATCAGTCCTCTAAAGATCTCTGATGGCCTCTAAAGATCTCTGATGCCATTGATAAGGTGTAGATGACCTCAGAGACCGCTGCTATTGAGTAGATAAAAACCTTAGACGTCACTATTTAATATTATTTGCCCTCAAAAGAGCCCTGCTATAGAGTAGCTGGCCTCAAAGGTCTGTCTATAAAGACCTTAACATGCCACTACTAAAAAAATTAACTGGACTCAGGGTACTTTTCAGTGTTCATGCTGGTTTCTCTTCCAATTCTACGGCTAGCACTCCGTCTAGCCATTCATCAAGACGAATTCATTGTATTTTTTGACAAGCACTCCTTCCAATCCAGCAGTTGTTCCTTATCCTCCTCCGGGAATTACAACATCATTCGGCGAGACAGAGACATGGTGGGGGTCTTGCATTCATCATCCCGCGAGATGTCAGACATACCCTGACTTCTCATCCGTCTCCTTCCCATTTTGATCTTTTCCTGGAGGTTTTGAGCATTTCAGTTCATTCTGAAGATTCTGAAATGTTTATATGAAGAAGATTCTCAATGTTTATATTTCGTCCGTCAACAGCGTTGGGACTAGTTACCATCCAAGCATGATCCATCTGCTGCAGAGAGATAATAAAATTTTACTTGACGATTAAAGTAGCTGGCCTTTGAGATCATTCCTAAAAAAATAGAGGTCTCTGCTATGTATAGATGCCCCTGCTATGTATAGATGGAGTAAATGTTCTCAGAGTCCTGTGCTATGGGAAAGCTATCCTCAAACTCCACATGTCCTCAGAGATCAAATTTACTTGGCCAACGTCTGTCATCTCAGTCCATTCTGTAAAAGCAATATGGCTACTACAATAACAACTAAAGATTAGTTGGCTTCAGAGGTCTCTGCTATGGAGTAGCTGGCCTCGTAGGCCACTGCTATTGAGACCACACACATACCCGTAAATATTTACCTAACATATTTGACGCATAACAACATTGACTGAAATTTCCCAAAACTTTTTACCTGCAACTTCCTCCCTTCGAAAACGTATTCAACCTGACCACCCGTACCACCAACCCACTAAGTATTTAAAACAATATTTACACAGCTTTATTCACGTCAACAAAAAAATAAAACGTTTTCAATTATTCGCTCTGTTTTCGAATTTAAAAGGTGATAAAATAAATATGCAGTTCACCTTGAAAAAAAAATCTAGCAACCTGTTAGCAAAAAAAAAAATCACAGATTTCTCTTAACGCATCAAATCGAATATCGATTACATTTTGAATTTCAAATTCCAAATCACATTTTTCTGAGTGGCAGTTATTTTTTTTTAATATTTAATGCTGATAATTCATTTATATACTGATATCTCTTCTAATCAAGCGGAACATTTTCTATGTTATATGCAAAATTCCCCAGTTGTTCGATTAGGTTCAAATAACTTCGTTTGCGTGTCGAAATATGACACCTGGAATTCCTAAGAGTTTCGTACAGGTAATGGAAAGCTTTCTTTTAAGGTCCGAATAGTTATGATGAGGCTCAAAAAGTTCAAAGAGATCAGAATGTTTGTGGCAGGAAGTTCTTTAGAGTATCAAACATGTAATGTGGATTTTTTGGGATCCGACTAGGCTATGAGGAGTCCCAAAAAGAGCTGTAAACAAATTCAACAGTTCATCTATAGCTGTAGAATGCTTAAGAGTTTAGTACAGATAATGGAAAACTCTTTTTTAAGGTCCGAATAGTAATAAGGAGGCACAAAAAGCTCAAAGAAGTCAGAATGTGTCCGAATAGGCGATGAGAAGCCCCAAAAAGAGGTTTAAAAGAGCCTAACAGCTCATCTATTGCTGTAGCATACGAGTCCAGGCCCGTTTTTCGTCCTCAGAGGCTAGTAAGGGGCCTCATATAGTGATCTGGAAGGACACGACTGACGCTTTAACTGACATCAGAGACCTCTGACATGGAGCAGCTGGCACTTCTATAAAGTGGCTAACCTAAGAGGAGGTCTTTAATTATCCGCATGGAGTTTCTGCTACAGAGTGATTGGACTCAGATGTCACTGCTATAGATTTCTTTGATTTCTTAAAAATATTTTTCTAGGCTAGCCAAATAGTAGTCGTGAATTTATTGAAAAATATTTTTAAGACAGCCAACATAGGCATAGATTTATAAACAAAATTACATTTTGATTTCATTTTTATAAAAAAAATATTTTTCAAAAGTTTCTTCAAAAATCTTTACGACAAATATATTACTTGTTATTTTACGTAAAAGCAATGTGATTAAATGCTTTCTTATCTTTCAGTTGCCACACAGATTATCAAAATACTCTAATATTTGTAGGAGTTATGCTATTTTTACCAAATTTACCCATAATTAATATTAGTTATACGCCCCCAAGGCCATATAATTAAAATTGTCGATTTTAAGTATTTTCTCTAGAAAATATTTGGTTCTTTTTAAAGATTTTGTAGGCCTTTTTGGTTATTTCGATTTTTCTTATGGGTAGATTTAAAAAAATTCTAGGCTTGCCAAATAGGTGACGATTTATTTACCTTTTTTTTTGAGATACCAAAATGGTATTCAGGCAAATAGCCGTTTTTTGCTCTTTTTCGCACAAATTATTCCCAAAGGGAGCATGCGAACGGGATTTGTCAGATGCGGGTCTTATGAATACCTATAAACCAACTACTAATGATTACATGGCCTCAGAGGTC